CCATCATTGATTGAGTTTTTCTGCTATGCACTAGATAGTTAGAGCACGGATTAAATTGCGTTGATTAAATCATTTATTTCATTTGAACCATTCTCTGCAACAATCTGAAACTCTGCACAGGGTTTGGGAATATATCGAGGGATGTACCTAAATAATTTCATAAAATTGGTTGCATCTTTTTACATCGCTGGTTCATCGTTAAGAGCCACGCAATAGCACATTACGATACAAGTGAAAAAAGTAGTTGTTGACTGCGCTTTTAGCTCGTGCTGTAATCATCACACTCGTTAGGAAGTTCATTTTTTTATACGTACCGTACGATATTTTATGATAATGAGGAGAAAAACGTGGTTCTTTGCGCGCGAAGCGTGCAAAAAAGTGCCTTTTTTTCACTTGTATCAAAAAATCTCATGCAAACGTCCACATTCGGTGCACATTGTTCATTTCATCTCCAAATAATCAACTTAATTTAATGGATTTCAATTTTTATGAACATGAAGGAGACACCTCTGTCTATCAGTTAAAGAAATGAAAAAAATTGAGTGTGCTTCTGGTTTTCGGATGAACATTTTTAAACTACGTCAAGTACTTACCAAAATTAATCCACCTTCACGATCATCACCAGTTGAAAAACTATTCTCTCCAAGCATCTCAAGTTGAAAATTAGGTAAAAGACATCCTGAATGCATGAATTTTCTGCACGCGTTGGTTGCTCAGTCGTGCAGAAGCGATTGGCTATAAATAAGTTTTCCCCTGTGATAAGAAATGCGAGGAAAGGGGTTTTTTTCTGGGTGGAGTTGTCTTTCGGAAAACAAAATGGAGAGAAATAAAAAATTGTGAAGAGAGTAGCGAGGAGAAGAGGCAAATACAAAGTGCTTGTGTTTTCTGTATGGAAACTAAAATGGCACTCATCTTCCACTATTCCAGGACAAAGAACGCGCGTTGGAGAAAGAGCGTCGGGCGGAGATAAGAGCTGAGGAAAAGTGAAGTAGGAGGTTATAGAACGAGGTAAATAAAGGGTGCAAATAGACCGTGAGTGAAAAAGTAAAATCAATAAAAAAAATCAAAGGATATGAGCAGGAAGAGGACTCGAGAGTGAAGAACGACGGGTGAATCCGTGTTAACGTGATAGAATGAATCATTGGTGGAGTGAAAGTAAATTAAAATGGAGTTGCAAAGATTTTAATTCATCTCTCAGCACTTACCAAAACCGTTTACCTTCATGTTTTTTTTATGACTTGAGAATTCACCTTCACTACATACACGGTCTTTTGTGCGGAGTTTGCTGAGATGCTCGCTCGCCTGGTTTTCGACTCGAGAGGATCACTGGTGAAAATACTCTCGTATATTACGCTGTACAATCCGTACATCCGGAGTTAAGATGACGTTTGCTTTTGCATCGCGGAAATTCTCGGGTGAGTCCTTTGAATGAATTGAATTTATCAAAAGTTCGCTGTGAGAGGATGTATCCCGAGAATTCCAGAATATATATTTTGAAATAACGCGCACGCTGCGATTCGTGAATGAGATTTTATTGAATACCCGTTTTTGAAAAAGATTTTGCATTGTTTTCTTTTCTATTGATCGCTATGAGAAAGCACTTTCTTCACAAATAATGTCCTATAATAATTGAGTCATGAATGGTGAAAGAACTTATAAAAAGGAATAAAGGACCCCATCGATTTCAACATCATATTGTTTTCATAGAATTTAATTATCTCGATGGCGAATAATTCTTGGAAGGAATGTCAGAAAGGATTTTTTGTTGCGAAAAATAATTGCTTTTGAGTTCAGAGGCAGGTTTCAACTTTCAATGAATAGGAAATGACGGTAGAACGAGGAAAAAAGTGGCGATTTGATGCAAGAAGTTGATTTGATTTCCGACTGAAATGACATTTTTTCACGGAGAGAAATATTCGGTACAAATTATGGAACAATTCCCATAATCCGCAATAGGGAATCGTTTTCCGGCAATATATATAGGAATGAAAGAGAAGAAATCTGAAACGTTCAGTGAATTCTCAGGTTCATCACCGAACAAAGTACGAAATTGTCACGTAATTTTTCACGAAGAAGTAAAATCTTACAGAAACTTCCGGACTTCAACAATTTTTATAAAGCTGGTGAGTTATTTCTATGTTCCGTTCCGTAAAACTTGTTATCCCCGCACAGCGGTGAGTCATCAGACGGGTGGTAAATTTTTACGGAACAAATCGCAGAATTTACGCGGCGATTCGTACAATTTCAGTTCCGACTCACACTTTCTGTTGAATTTTCCTTCGCTGGCGATTACGTTTCGAAAAATAATCTTTACGTTTTTTTCTGGTAATTTTCATTGAATTTTTCTCTCCGTGTAGAGATTAAACGCGGACATTCTAAGCGATTCGAATTTTTAAACTTTTTTGGGACTCAAGCGGAGCTAATGTGAACGGAATAAAAATTTCCAATAAATTTAATATAGTTCAGAGTCGACATTGTAATTTTTCCAGATTTTTATTAATTCTCATTTAAAGTCTCAAAACTACCTCTCATTTAATTGAAAAAAGAAAAATTCGAAAATGCGCGGCACGGTGTTCATTGAGTCAGTTCAGTAGGATTAAAATCAGTGTCTTACTTCCGGCAAAAAGAAACGTTTTCCCTCAATGTGACAATATCCAATAAAACTCATTACATTTAATTTACAACTTTCCACCGCACTCGAATATAGTACACTATCCACCCAAATCCTCTCACTCAAGATCACTCTCCATCCCCCATAAACTACTTCCATTCATCATTGAAAGCACTAGAACTCCAGCGAAAAGCCACCCCCCAAAAAACCCCCCGGTGAAATCTGTCAATATTTCCCCAAAAGAAAACTTCACGGTCATTGATCCCACAATACGCCTTCTCGAATTAATCCAGTACCCACCCTCGCTCAGCCGCGAGGGAATCCTCCACGTGTTCAAGCACGCACCTCAATTGCAGTGTGACGCACATTTTTTCCTACCCCACTCCGATGCACTCGCACACAAGCCCACCACAATGTAATAGAGAAATGCTTTTCCATGCTTTTGCCTTTACGGGCTGCTAGCATCGACACCTCTCCCCCTGCCCCCACTGCCCAGCCCCCCTACCGCAACTCCACCCCAACAGTATAGCAATCTCCAAAGCACCCAAGAGACCGAGAAGAAAGAGACAGTTTTGTATCCATTGGTATTGGTGTACTCGTTCATCACACGTCCCAATGATGTACACTCGTGTGCGTGTGTATTTATGGATGAGAGCACACATCTAGAGTTGCGATGAGTCTGAAGACTCTTCTCCCTACATCTCCCCCTCGCTCTACGCAACATATCGCTGTGTGGAATCGTATCAACGTGGGTTAAAGTCAGTGGGGTTGAGGCATGTATGATTGTGTGTGTGTCGGCCTGCATGAAGGAACAAAACTGTAAGGGGGAACTTGACACGCGTGTGTTCCACCCGAGTTTTGGCTTTAGTTTAGTTGCAGACACCGGGCACGGGTGTCACTTCTAATACATTCATTTGTGCTAATTTTTAATTAACGATTCAATTGGCAATTTCAGTCTTCTGTGGGAATTTCAATTTAATTTTTGTTTTTATTTCGTGAATTTTATTCATAAATATTTAATTAAACAAACACATTTTGTTGTTGTTATTAAATTTAATTGCTAATTTAGCCTTCGATTTTCTGTGTCAGTGGAGTGACAAGTGTTATTAGTGATCAAGAATTATACGTGTAATAAACAGCAGATCTCGGAGTACAGATGATAAATTCAAACGGATTAACCAAACCAAGTGTTATCTACCTGCATTAATGTTTCGAAGTGAATTGAAGTGTTCGTAGCTAAACTTTGTGTGAATTTTAGTTTTGGTTTATACAACTGAGGCCCATAGTTGAGTAAAAGCGGGAATAAACTTTTACCTCACTGATTTTCACCAGGTTGTGTTCGGTCATGCGTTTATAATTGACTCAGTGAGGTATCAAGAGTGATTAAAAGTTTATCTCACCGGTATGAATGAAAACTTTGGACTAGCTGTGAATATATTAAAAATATTGTGTAATCTTCATTGCACTTGACTGCAGCTACTGAAACATTGCAATTACGATCATCGCAACCTGATAGAAATCGACATTTATCGAGCCGAAATCCAATTAAATCACTTCCCACGCTCTTCCGCTTTGAAAAATCAAACTGACACTCGATAGATGCGAAAAAAACTGGGCTTTGGGAGCCCGGACAAAGGGATAGCATCGAGTTTACACGAAAAAACGTGACGTACCGTCGCGACGACTGTGAACACTTGACCCGGCAGAAGAGATCGCCCGCCCGCGAAGAGAGCTTTAGAGTGAGAGCATCCCATCCTCACTTTACTCAAAAAGCAGAGACTAAACAAGAGCAAGAATTAACAGTCCAGTGGAATGAGAATCACGATATGATGCCAAAGAGGCATCTCTAGAACAGAACGGAGTACAGCAGAAAAACATCAAACCCAGGGATAAAAAAAATCAGTGAACCCAAAAGAAAAAGATGAACCCTGTCATCCTTTCAGTGGTGAAAAGATTTCTGGACAAAGCGAGACCGCACGGGTCCAACGTAATAAGCAACACATGCGTGTCACTCTACTTCCCATCGCCAGCAGATTGATCTCTCCAAAAGATACGAAAAAAAGAAAAAAGCACGTAAAAAGGAGGAGAGAAACGTCGAGATCATTAGGAGTCATTCAAACTCGAGTTTTAGTACCGGAGGGGAAGTTTACAGTTAGTGCCATTATCGGTTGTTTGTGTTTGGAGTACGTTCAAGGCCGCTAGAGTCACTGTACAGAGAAGACAATTCGAGTTTGGTTCGGATGCACGAGAGCAGAAAGGCCCTTTGACATGAGTTTGTACTAGCAGAGTGATCGAACAACGTATTACTGAAATAAATACATCTGGAGATATTCTGGATACAGGGTGATAGATTTCCATGGCGCTAATGGTAAATTCGGACAATGTGTTGTGTGCGATGGATTCATAGAGCGGTATATTCAGCCTGAAAGTGGTGGAGTTGAGTTCATATTGCGAAGGTGGGATTGGATCTATCGTTCTTGGCGATAGATTATTGAAGTGAGTGAGGAAAAAAGTGGCGACCAAGTGTTTGAGGAGAATACAAAGTGTGCCACGATGTCGCTCATGTTAATGCGTGTGGTTATTGTTGGCTTGTTGAGTTGGAGCTGTTGGGTTGCAGGTGATGACCTCCCAGATCCCATCAACAAAGGTGAGACGTTTGTATTGTATGGAGTACTATTTTTAAGATATTTTTCTCATGTTAATCACGAACTTTTTGCGTTTTCGGCGATTCGGGAAGGGTGAGGTAATATGGGTATTTGGGCTAAAGTAGACACTCAAAACATTTGCGAAAAACACTTTTTTTTTTAATTCAAATTTTTGAAAATTGTTTCGTTTTGCAATATGGATACATAATGAATCCGTATAAGATAGACTAAAATGGACGCTGAAACAGTTTTCAAAAAAATTTCAATAATCGAATATTTAAAAATTTCTTCTTGGCCAAGTCCACAACCGGAAAGTTATTCAAGAATAGGGTGAAATTGACACCCGAAAAAGTTGGTTCTATTAAAAAATCAGAAAAATTTTCAACAGACATTTTCCAACAGAATCGTGTGGGTATTTTTTTATTGAGAGCAATTAGAGTTGGAAGAGATATTAACAAATAAACTTCAACTCTATTCAATTTTGCATTGAAGTTTGAAATGTAGAGCAGCTTTGGATTTCCTGTTTCACTATAGATATAACTTTGAAATTATCTTGTTTTTTTTTCAATCAGCAATTGCACGCCATACACAACTGACTTTTGTTCATTTCCGAAAATTTATAAGATGGCTACTTTTCTACTGACAAAGGAAATCACCATAAAATAATGGGGGGAGAGGAGGATGAATTATCAAAGAAAAATTTGGTTCACCATTCCCTACGACAAAAGTAAAAAATGAGTTTTTTTTCAGTTTCAAAATCGCAGTCATGACTAGTGTTTCAGAAATTGAATAATATAATTGAATAATATTCCAGTCCAATAATTTTTATGTAGACAACAACGAAAATTCTAGAACGGTTGGTAAATTTTCCCCCACCGGCACGGTAATTTTTATTTTTATCAGCATAACATTTCTCTAACGTAGATTAAAATTTGATCATCATATTTATTTTTACTAAATTTCGGGATAGAAATGAGGTAACAATGACTCATGATACACTTTTATGGAACGGTAGGGTAATTTTTATCAAAAATTTCACTCCGCGCAGAGAGGGGTGCGGGATTCCCCCATTTGGGAATTTGATTAGAATTCAACGATTTGGTGGGGTCGGTGGAACAATTTGGAGTGGACTGATTAATCTTTCTTTTTGAAATTTAGCGAATTCGGAGGATTCATACCCGTATGAGGCTGGCACAGTCTATTCACTGGTACAGTGTGGTACATTACAGTTAACCTCCATCATCGGTATAACCGTCAAACGGCTGACCGCGTAATCTTCTCGCGATTATCCGATGTTAATCCTGAATGGGAGTTATACGCGTGTTACACGCCTATGGTGTGAAATTGAATTACCCTGTTTCTAAACCATAGTGTGTTGATATCAGTGAGCATGTTGGTGTAATGGATATTGAATCCAGTGGGTTAATTTTGGATAATTATTGGAGTAGATCATTTTTGGATGATTATTTTAATCGGAGAGATGGAACTGGAGATTAGTCTAGCTTAGAACTGTAGATTATTCCGTGAATAGTCGGATCAGGGTGAGGTTTAGAGGAATTCAACGGAAGATCTTTACACGTTGTCTCTTCATTTTACACGCGCCAAAACTGATAATTGGTATGAGGAAATTCATTGCTTCCCTCTAAATTTTTCAACGAATGTGGAGAAAAACAATTACGAGTCAATATTATCAGATTCAAAGTCTTAAGGATGTCCACGTATCTTTCACAGTTTGGTGCAGACTACACTATAGATTCAACTATTTTGAAACATCAAATTTTTCAATTAAATGGCGTGAGAAAAATTTGATAAAATCAAGCATATTCAGCGTCATTAAAATTACATTTTGCACATAAATATTATTTTTTTAAACATTCGTTGTTCCTAAATAAGTAATTGAAACTTTCGGAACCCTTATTTTTTAGGCATGAAATCGATCTCACGTAAATTTATGAAGATGAATAAATCGAAAACTGGTTATAAATTATTTATAAAGAATGCGTATAATTTTTACAAATTGCAATTTGTAAATTATTTAATTAATCGTCCTCCAAAAGTAAACTTTCTAATGTTTTTGCAGATTTTTAAAATGATCTCTAACGGTTCAATATTGAGATTTAAATTCAGATATACAAAATTTAGATAATAAAATCATTGTAAAATGTCTGGAAAGTTGGGGTCAAATGGGGCTCAAATAAAATCGATGATGTTCGACTAAAAAGTAGAAAAGCATTTCACTGGAAGAAAAATAGCCAAAGTACTTGGATACCCCCGAAAAAATGATTTATTTGAATCAAATAAAGTTTTTTTTTAATTAAATAAAAAATTTTATTCGAAATTTTGTTTATATTAAATAAATGTTTTTTTTTACTATTAATAAATCTTTATTGAATCCAAATAAATTTTTTATTTATACCAAATAAACAGTTTTCTTTGAACTAAATGAATATTTATTTGATACTAATAATTTATTATCGCCTTGAGATGATAATTAACTCGAAGAAGATTGAACGGAAAAATAGGTAACAATTATTCGGGGCTGGATAAACATCACGTAAGTCATTTAGGGGTGGGGGAGAAATTTCTGTTCCATGGTTGTACTATCAAGGAGACGATGGTGAAAGAAGGTCGTATATACTGAGTGAACAATTATGATCAAAACGTAATCAAAAATGTAATAAAAAAATCATACGACCTTTATCCACTTAGTTGACCTGAAACATCCAAAATGGTCAATTCGGCCTTTTTCCAGATAGCCCATCAATATTATTGAAACACACTTTCGGAAGTCTTTCACAAAATACATGAAAATGTGATTTTCTTAAAATAAGAAAACTATTCATTTGAAATAAATAAACTGTTTTTTAAATGCAATAAAAATTTCATTTGAAGTGAATAAATTGTTTGTTTAATATAATTAAATCTTTTCTTTTGAACGTCGTAAACAAGTCTATTTATTTGCAACAAAAATATTATTGAAATAAGTAAGAAAATTCCAAATAAAGATTTTTATTTCATTCAAAAGAACCATTTTTCTGGGTGTATCGTTAAGGGTTGTAAATGTTCCAATACTGTAATCTCGAATTATTTAGAATTTTCAGTGGATTTTTTAATGTAAAAAGAAGGGAAAAACCTCATCAGGAATTTTTTGTGAAGAATCGTGTACAATACAAAAAGATCTGCACCTTTTTTTCTCTGCACCTAACCAGAGGTTAGGTATTTTTCTATTGGAGATATTACCGAAATGAAGTAAGCTGAATTGTTACTAATAATATTCTTTCACCCCTTCGATAGGATTTATACATTTCCATTGTCCTTGAATAATCATCTTCCTTACTTGGTGATAGCCAATCGTCGGGAATTTGATTCCAGAAGACCTGATTTGATGAGCTGCGAATAGTTCGATTTCAATCGTTTATTGAGCAGGTGTTGACTGCGATTATTTGTTTTTCCCTTTTCTCCGAGAAGATCCATTTCAGAATGAGAGTCTGTTCTATTGGGATGGAAGTAAATTCCCGACAATAGTGGGGTGTGGGCATTGCCACCGCGGTGGAATGTAGGAATCCAAATACCAGAGTGAAGACAGAAGGGGAAAGAATTGGAAAAAGAAAAAAAGCAAGGCTTCCCCCAAATTTACTCTTGTTTTCCTCCTCCTCTTTTTTCTTGGGATTCTTTGGATTCTGGGAAAGAATAAATATGGATTCTTCGACGAGTTTTAATTAGATCCGACGATCTCATGTTTCTCAGAAATTTTAACCGCTTGAATGAAAAAAGAAATGTTTCAATTTACAAAAGAAATTAATTATAATAAGAATCATGCTTTTTTTAATTGATTGAAAAAAACTGCAACAGACGAAATCCCTACGGAGTGTCCAAATATGAATAAAAAAAATAAAAAACAAAAGATTGTATTTCGGAAACTACTGGAATGAAAGAGGTTGTTCTTTTTCGATTAAAATGAAATTGTCCTGTTTCTCTCGAAATTTCTCTGAAATTTTCCTGTCTCAAGTTTGGATTAGGTTAGACCTGACTACTGATCAGGTATTGATCAAGTTGACGGATCCGGTCTTGATCAGACATGTTACGCCTCTGACCAATCCGGATTTGATCAGGACGAATGGATCCGAACTTGATCAAGTCAACTGTATGAAAACCGGATGACCTGTCTGTCTGTATCAATAACAATTATCAATGATAATTAATCCAAAACAAAAGATAATTCAATTCTTTCACCGTAGGCCGCCTCTCTTAATGAATCTCTGCTGTTATTACCTCTGAAAAAGCTTATTATTTTTTTACCGATGTTGGGGATCGAACCGGCGACCCTATGATTGCTAATCCTATACCCGAACCACTACGCTATCGTGCTATTACTATTGAGTAAACTGTACATTGCCTATATGAATTGTATAGGGGTATTCGTTGAATTTACGATTATTCCTGATCTCGCGGATGTGCGTGTGTATACTCAGAGATAAAATATGTTCAATTAAATTTTTATTTATTTCATTAATGAATAATAATAATGATAATAACAATAACTCTAATAAATAAATAGACATTTGGTGATTTTTTTCTCAAGATCATTTGCGTGTAAGTTTGATACTCCTCTAATACGTATTTACGACATCATCATCCCTCCCTTCTGTACATTTGAGAAGGACTGGCTGTTAATTAAATTGATTATTTTAATCAATGTAATTCATTTTAATTATAGTAATAATGATCCTTTTTAAAGATTGAAAATAATTATTGATAATGGTTGATAAAACTTAATTTGAGTAGCATAATAATAGTTAATTAAATTATCTGGAAAACTTATTAAAATTAATGTCAGGTGGACCGGATCTGAATTTGATCATTTTCTCTTCAATTGACCCCGTTCAAATGCTGATCAAAGACATCAAATCGGAATTTGATCATGCCTACCTGATCAGAAATTGATCTGAATCATCCTGCAGTTTTTCGGATCCGATCTGCTTGATCAGAACTTGGTCAGGTT